CCGACCAGATTGATCACCCAGCTATGACTGGATGCTTCCATGATGACAGTGATGATGATGCTACAGATCATTAACATAGTGTACGGGGGTGGAGGGTGAATATCTGTAGGCAGTAGAGTAATGTAAGATAATGGATAGACACGTGGGAAGCGTCATCAGTGGTAACTGAACTTAGAGTCTCATGAAGGCGGCTAATTGCGGAGTTTAGTGGCCCTGGTGAAACGGCTGGATATCGCTCGCCGACTCCGTGTATTAATATTATACAAATTTCATACAGTGGATGAAGTAATAATTCGTCGAGTATTTGGGGTTACGAAGCAGAGATGTTGGTTGATGAACCACTCGGGAGATTCAGGAAGTTCTGCCACTCACTGAGTAATACCAGTTGCCAGACGGCTGTGCGCCCACGAATTTAGTGTCACGTGATGAGCGCACAACACAGTTTTGCGCACGTGACACAACCGACTGTGATGACGGTGAGTTCTACTCATCCTCTTGTTCGTGTATGCAGAAGTAGGACGCTAAAATCTGCTGAATCGGACTGGAGCCATCAATTGAGTTGACTAAATTCATTATAGTGAATGTTCTGTCCTCTCAAGAGCGGACTCTAAGATTGCCCCACTTAGCCACCGTGAGTCGGTTGTCCGACACCTCTCGTATGTCAACCGGTGGCAGCCAACCTGCGACTTTGCTTGAAGATGACTGATGATATCACCCACTTGCATTCCTCTGGAATTCTCGCAGGTCCAACTTGAAGTTCCAGGATACCTCGGAATAATATCGTGCGATGACGCTCCGGAGAGCGTCAGCCAAGACTCAGTCTATCGCATGGCAACCACAAAAGTCATACGATAGGTTTTCACCCTAGAAGGAATGATTCCTCAGAAATATCAGACTTTGAGGAAATACAACGATCATCTCGACTCGGCAGGTCGTTAAGTCGAGTTGATCGCATACAGGACGCCTGTGAGTATATCCCATCAGCACAGTACCTTTGTAAGGTTCTGAGGTCAGTGACTCAACGTTATTCACAGAGTTTTGCCATCGGCAGAAATCCTAGATTTCGGCGAAATCATTTCGCAGGGCTCTTCTTGCCTAATTCTGTGCATCAGGAGTTGCCATCCCCTGGAATTTCTTCCTCTCGGTTGGAGACCCACATCGAATAAACACTCATAGCAAGATATACCGTAATCAAGAACGATGGAAGCCAGAGCATTGGAGATGAACCATGAGCTCGCTGAGCAGAGCGGTCAGATCTTCTGCCTTACAGACATCTCTCACACAGGTTAGTAACCACAGCAAGACCCTACCAAGACAACGGCTATCAAACAGTCTGAGCCGATGGACGGCCTGAGATATATTCAGCATGCTGCATAACGATGACCCATACAATCTAGTGGTACAGATACATAAAGGGGAATTCTTGGCCGCATACCGATATTATGATTCTCCTGGTGAGCAAAAAGATTACAACGAGTGTGTCGTCCGCGCCTATATAGACGAGAAGCTTGAGATGTGAAACTGATCATGGATCTGTGTTTTGCTGACGCGATGAGGTCAGTGAATATCGTCTCCCCGCCTCTATGCTGGACTGTTTTGAACCGTGCGTGTGTTGTGAGAACGTCGAATCATCTTCACTAAAACATCCGTATATTCACCAATTTCTTGTCTTTTCTTATCATTGCTCAATATCACGTTCATGATGTGCGCAGGTCTTTTTTACTCGGTATCGGTATGCAGACCTGCGGGTTGCTGTGCGCGGTATCCAACTTGTTCACCTGCACACTCGCTCAACCTATTTTGTTGTTCGAGAAGCGCTGAAGAGTGAAGCTGCAGATGGACTCTCATTGAATTTCAATCATTTTCAGCAGTGGCTTCTGATGAGATCGAACAGGAGCAAAATGCTACGCTTTGAAACCATCGGGTATAGGAGCAGCTTTCTTAACCACAATATTGTGGATGCTGTTGGGTAGAGGACACCCACGAAACCAACT